GAATTAAAAGAAAAACCAGGATTATGCACTTTTTTTTTCAATAAAATTCACACTAGTGTTAATTTGGTTATACCAATGATTTATAGAGTTTCACTTTCCACATTTACTGTTTCGTCTTAGGAACTTAGAACAACTATAAATTAAAATTCTGATCATTAGGGAAATTTGATTTTTCTTCCCATTCATGGCTTTATATTTGGCCCAACGGTATAAGGAATGCAACGAACCAAGGAAGGAAGGCTTATTGCATTGGAATACTGGAGGATTTGGTGTTTACTTAAGGATTCACACATAAATCCTTAGGACCACCCTTATCGTCACAGCTGAAGTCAGCACTTCAAAACTTGTATATATATCAGCCCTTCGGAGCATATGGTACCAGTTAGCAGAGAGACACCCCACCGGTTAACAGTGACACCCTCCGGTCAGTACACATACCTAGACCAACCGACTTCGACGTGACTTATAGTAACATTATAGTGTCTCTATTTAATAACCTAGTGCACTTTAAGAACGAATATATTGTAAATTGTAATCTTTCATACCAATAAAGTTTTTTTTGGGATTAGTGAAGGGAGAATATTTATTTCACGAATTAGTTACAATAATTCTTTTTTTTAATTGACTTTAAACAAATAGAATAAATCTCAGTATAAATGAAAACGTAATCATAGATTCTCCAAATTACGTCCCTTTTCAAAACATCACAATCCTTTTAAGGTTCTATTAAAAGAAAATGTTTAAAGTTGTCATTAGCCATGTATGTGTGATTATAGCGGCTTTGCTCAGCCTCTATTGGTCCTTAATACCAGTAATGCAACTGAGTAAGAGGCGCTGGGATCTCCTAGAGTCCTGCCTTTCCTTCCACGACTAGGGAGAAAGGCTTTGCTCGGAGATCTTGAGTGAACGATTTTTTTAGATATTCTATAGAAGTATGTGTGTATTTGGGTAGTTATTTTGATTAGTTTAGTTTCATTTCGTTTACTTTAGTTTATATACTTTTACTTTTAGCATTATTATTGTTATATATTATTTATTTTTATTTATTGTAAATATAGTGTGAATGTGCTCTCTGAACACTATTATAAATGTCCTTAATTGTAATTAACTGATTGTAATATATCTCAATAAATATGTTTCGAATAATCAAAAAAAGTTGTCATCATATCCCAAGCATAAATCTGTCTTAAATATGAAATTATTTCAGTTTCGTATGTCTTTTCGTTTTTGAGCTATCCTGTTTACACACACACAGATCATTTTGCGAGACATAGTTATTTGAAATGGGGATCAGGGAATTTGAAACATGTATTTTCACCGGAAACTCGAATTCGAAATTTTTCACGACAGCAATACTTCTCCTTACTACACGTATATTTTATATACAAGTAAGGTTATATTAAACTTAATGTAATAAATGATTCGGGATCAGTTATAAATATTTTACCACAAAAGGCTTAAAATAATATACAAATAAAATAATAATAATAACCGTAATTCATTATTCGCCTAACAGTAGATCCACTAACATCAATGATTTCATCGGTTAATTGCAAAAAGTCATTAAGTGATATTTCATAACCTTTGTGGAGTTAGAAAATTTTGAAAAATTATAATCTCATATAACGATAGTAAAAATTTCCATAAAAAAGCGATAAAATGTATACAGCATCATTTTTTCCTGATCGCCAATCTCTTACGAATTTAAATCAAACGGAACAAGACATCTTTATATGTAGACTTTCCTTAGAAAATACATTTGCGCTTAAGCAATAGAAGTGGATGGAATTTTAGTTATATTTAATATTTAAAAGGGTTTGTGTCATTTTTGTGGTCTTGTAATGTTTCTTTATCGATATATAAAGCAGAAATTCACAAAAAAGTTCATGAAAGTTTAGCTGTATTAAAAATAGACTTACAATTAGTGACTTTTTTCAATTTATTTTAATAGTTTTTAACTTGAAATATTTATAGAGGGGTGTAGCTCAGTGGGTAAGGCACTGTATTCTTATTTTTACGGTCACAAGTTCGTGTCCGATAGTAGTAGATTACTATTTATTCTTTAATTCCTGACTTCAGGTTCGATCCTGGAGTCAGGAAGCCCTCCTGGGGCACAAAGCCTATTTAAAGTGACTGATATTAATTAATTAATTGATGTAGGGAGATAAACTTAAAGTTGAGTATGATCTCGGTTAAATCAAATTCTTGCTCGACCATTGACTAAGTAGCAGTAGGATAAATGCACCAGTAGCTGACATGCTTAAAGAAATTTCTTTGAACTTTTACGTGTAAAACTTTAATATTGATGTTATAATATATTTCCTGGATTCGTCTTATAGAATTATTTCTCCCCTTACCAAGACATATTTCGAATCCATGAAACATTAATCTGAATTTTAAAAAATTAAAAATTAAGAGAATAATTTTGTTGTACCAGTAGCTGACATTGTTTGATTTTGAATGTTCCTATAAATGGCAGGGACGAGAACAAGAATTTAATTAAGTGAAATTTCATATTCTTTATTTTATGATTAACAAAATTACCTTTAACTTATTATGAAACTAATTTCTTGCTTTTACCGACTTAAATTTATCAATAAATGTTGTTCATTGTCAAGAACCTGTTTTTTGGCAATAGGAAAACATATTTTTGCCTTAAATATAACCCAAATCATTAGCATTTTTTTTTTAACAAGACAGTAGTCAATGGTTCCATTTTTAAGATCCGTTATATTCAGTATATCTCTTTTAATTTATGAGAGTAGAGGCCTTTTAACTACTGGCAAAAGAAATTGATTATAACGCTCCGGAAGCTGACACCCATTAAATATCCTATTCCTTCATCAAGATAAGTTAAAAATAGATACAGCATAATTTTAAAATACTACAAGTAATAATAAAACTAAATTTTGGGATAAATCAAAGTGGTTAAAGAGAAAAGGCAAACATTAGGTATGGTGTTGTCACTAACAGACGGTTTTTCCTGGGGAATTTAATAGACCGTGAAAGACCTTCCTAATTTGACACTCATTATTTCCCGTAAGACTAACGCAAAGCAGACAAATGTACCAGGAAAAAATATAGAAACTAAAAATAAATTAAATATACTTCTAGGAGGTCCTGAGATTGTATTATTCCCATTTTTCGACAAAGATATCAGGTATTGGTACACTTTCAGCTATTCGTGCTTTTACTCTGCTTTCTTACGAATAGTGTTGCGAGACCGAGACGAGTCCTGCTCTTGCAAACTTAGTCTTGGTCATGGTCTTGGTCTTGCGCAAGAGTCTCGCAACAGTCTTGCAGTTACTTATTAGCTTATTACTATAGAGATATTACTGTAATTATTTAGATAAGAGAACCCTAAGTAAGCCCGAATGAAAAATTAGAGGAGTTAAATGCAAAAGTATATTGGATATACCAATTATTAACATACAGTAACTAAGATTGTCAAGTATTAGCAACTATTTTGCCTTAATTTGTATTTAAAAAATAGTTTTTTTTTAACAATCCTTGTCTAGGTCTTCCAAGGTGCAAGACCAAAACCGATTTTGGGGAACACTACTTACGAAGTATCCTTCCCAAGTTTGATGACGTTATCGTACTCCTCTCCTCCCTCCCACCTTTCCGGTCTTCCAAGACATTTTTCTGCTCTCCTTTTCTTAAAAGAGTTCAAGCGAAAATAAAATAAAACATAAAAAATTATAGATTATATACAATTACACTTGGTGCGGTCTTTACAATGTTTCTCCATTGTCCCTTGGTTTGAAACTTTCCATTTCTAAAATTCATGTGTCCACTCAAAAGTTCAAAACCCCGTCAATAAGTGACCCTCTAAAATATTTTAATGGCCAATTTTTTTTTTTTTATATTTATCTCTAATTGACACCGTTCTATCAGAAAAAATATACTTAAAGCATGAACTAATGTTTTTAAGATATCTTTACTTTAAACTAAATCGATAATTACAAATATTAAAATATATAGGAATGCATTCTATTAATGGTATCAGTATTAGATTGGAGTAGTGACCCTATGGACATGATGCAAAACTGAAGGCGAGTTATAAAGATTTTTTTTTTCTTTATAAAAAACAAAAAATAATGCGAAGGTCTGCAAAAACAGAAGAGGTTAGCAATCAACTCCGTAGGGGGCCCCGATAACATTCTGACGTACCATTCGGGTTAGAACTAATCGCTGGGGTTATGTGATAACAGTGATGTTGGGGGTCATATATATACCATACGGACCAGCATTATCTATCAATACTAGTTTTTGTCTTCTACAGTATACAACTACTTCTCACTCTACTTAAAATGCTCTTTGAGGTACATTATTATTATTATTATTATTTATATATTCTGTTTATTCTAAAGAAATGATAAACTAAAATACGTTTTTCTTATGCTTATTATTATTAATTATAGATTTTATATTCTAATTATTACTAAATTAGCTTTATAAAAAAAAATCATTTATTATTTATTAAGCCACCGATGATGGCTAATAAATTATACCAAGGCTATGAACTTATTTTGAAACATTTTATTCTTCAATAAAAAAATATATATATCGTAAATTTATCATAAAATATATATATTTATTTTTCTAAAATAAATTTACTGAATTCAACGAAACATCAATGTCATAAAAATATTTCAGGAAATATATATATAAAAAAAATATTCGAAATTATTGTTACTTATTTCATCGACTTTTATCCAGTAAAATTTGTTGTAATTTTAATAAATGTGTAAAGTTGTAAAATTATGATAGTAAAGTTATAACTGAAGTCCAGATTTTTTTTTTTATTAATTCAAGTATCTTCGTCTGATTGCAATAGACCTAGTATCAGAGCTATAAATATATTTTTTTTAAATATATATAATCATAAAATGTATGAAAATAAATAATAAATTATGAAGTTTAGAATTTTGACAAAAATGTTTTCAATGATTGATACGTGATTAAACCAAAATCCGCTATGTAAATCCTTTTCGATTTTTTTTTTTACAGAAATTATAAAAAAATAATAAAAAATTGATAAATTTATAATTATATTATAATATTGGCTATGTAGCTAATGTTATTTTGAAGTGGACTTCTAGTTCATAAAGTCACACACACAAAATAATTTATGAATTTATTAGGTTTTGATTCTAAATTACTCAATTAAAGTTTTATTAGATATAAAATTCATGGTAGGTTTTAATAGTTAAAATAAATCCTACAAGATAATGAAGAAAATTAGTAAATTAAAGCTAATAATGATTTAGAGTTAAACATGCACAAGCGTAATAAGGATTAGGATTTTTTAATTTATAATTTTCAGCACTTTTTTATGACACTTAAAATAAAAATTAGATGGACGACGTGGCTTTCACTAAAAAATCATGTACTGCCAAAGGATTACGTCATCAATTTACACACAAAATTTATCAAATTTACTCAATCCCTGTCCTTCCGCCATTAATCAAGATTCGAAAATTCTTTTTTCACTTTATAACGGCACATTTCCTCTGTTAAATGATACCAATTTTTGCTCTCTAGCTTTTATCAATGTGGAGCTGTAACTGTTTGAAAATCACATAAAAAACGTATGGATTTATTTTTTAACACCCAAGATGGAGAAACGTAATTTTACGTTACAAAAAACAAAATGGCGTTTTTCAAATATATAGAGAAGTCACAATAATTCGCAAGAAATAATTTGGAAAAAATTAAGAATATTTTTTATAAAGTCATTTATAATATCTTCTTTGCATTTATTTTTATTATTTTTTTTACAAAGTATAATAAATTAAAAAGGAAAGATAAGAAGAAATGAACAAAAAAATTATAGTCGTTTAAGTAAAATTGATATCACGATAACAATTTTAAATAATTTAAATATCAGATAAACAAATTGTGTTAATTGTTTAAATATTATTTCATGCAAATGCCGGTCATTCTGATTTTGGTAAATTGTATTTTATTTTTTTAATCATGATTAAAAACTAAATTAATAGAGTGATATATATATATCAAAAATACTACTTAAATAGATTTTTTTTAATTTTCCGTCTCATTTATCACTTATTTAAATATGCTGTGGTTACATAAATTGGGCAGTAAGTAAAATTGTTCAAAGTAAATCAAAATAAACGAAAACTGATAAGTTGGGTTTGAGTGGTTTTAAGTATAAATTGAATAATGTAATGTTTTATTAAGTTACTAAACTAATTGTTCCTATTATATTCTAAATTAAAACAAAATGTCGGGGGAAAAAGCTGAGTGTTTGGAATTCAAAAAATCCCGCGTTTCTCTACCTGCAGCCTCAGCTGATTGCGTAACCTTCAGAACTAATCAGAATATTGTGACACGAAATAATGTGCGGTCTGCCTTCACTTAGCTTTTCACTTTCTCGTAAAAGCTATTCTTGCTTATTTGACATGTCAGGTAGATATTTTTTCCATGTATGCCCTTGAAAAGAAATGTTGTTCATTTATCACTTATTCTATATATTCTATCTATCAAACTTTGTTCTGCAAAGTGAATTATGAATTATTTCGAAAATAAAATGCACTTAAAATCCAATACAAGTATTAATACCAAAATATAATTTATTAAACTGACTGAAGACTGATAAATATATTAGTATAGTTAAGGCATGGATACATTTGATTATTCTTTCATTCAAGAATTATTAGAGAGTGTGAGTTGATTTCTTATGTTACATCATATTTAGTTAGATCATGATTTTTATAATCAGTATATTAAAACATGTCTTTTTATTTTATTTTTAGTCACCAATACTAAAAGCCTTTTTGGCTGGATCACTTTCCGGGACATTTTCGACAGTGCTATTCCAACCACTTGATCTAGTCAAAACCAGAATTCAACAATCTTCCATGATTTCTGAGCCTAGGTAAGTTTTATATTTCCATTGTTTAACTTTAAATATCATATCGATGTTAGTTAATGGACTATACCATTCATCATGGGCAATAAAAATTCACGACCCTAACATTACATGATAATTAAAATAATTAATTTTGTAATGATAATAACTATTCAGAGTTCAGTCATGGAGATGTCATTTTTATTTTAGAAGCGTTTTGTTTCAACTCAAACATAGCCCATCTTCAAAGCTAAAAATAAATGCAGAGATATATGCAAGATAAAAGTAATAATAGGTTATGAATATGAGTTAAGTGGATAAGATGATGAATGGTAAAAATCTATAATTATTTAATATATTATTTTATTCTAGATTTTCAACATTTATGTTGTTATCCATTTTATTGTTAACATCATTTAACCATTTTATCATTCTCTTCATTATTGTCCAATCTAATAGTTCTAATCATTATTAACAAACTTTGCTATTCATATTTTCATTACTTATTCTTATGTCACTTTAATTTTTCTTGTATCACTCACTTTATTTTTAGCCCTCAAAATGGCCCATGTGAAATTTTGGGTTGAAACGTTAGCTTATTCCATAAAAATTATACAATGGCTTGGGTTATAACTATTTAATACAAAATTTAAATTTTTAATTATCATGATTATGTAATGTTAGAACAGATTTTTGGTTGTGAGTTTTAAAAGAACCTATTCATTTTGTTTTTTATTTGTATAGAAAAAATGCAATGGATTTAGGCATCTTACATTAAGTCTGTAATTTAACTTTTTTTGTTTTTTGTTTTATAGAGGACAGCATTCTGTAGGCATGATGAGAGTCATGAACCAAGTACTTAGGAATGAACAGATCTCAGGATTATGGAAAGGAATGACACCAGTGAGTATTGTTTTATTTTTTTATATATAATGATCAATGATTTTTATATTTCATTCCTTTTTAATTTTTAATATATGTTGTATATATGATTGCTTTGAATAATCAGTCAAATTATTATTATAGTCCATCACAAGAACGATACCTGGAGTTGGTCTTTATTTTTCCTCTGTGCATTGGCTTACGAATACATTTAGTGAAGGAGTCCCTTCCCCCCTGACTGCCGTCTCAATTGGTATTGCAGCAAGATCATTCAGTGCTGTCTGTTTGATTCCCATCACTGTTGTCAAAACAAGATTTGAGGTGAGAACATGAAATACATTTTTTTTCACTTTTCAAAATAATATTTATATAGATTGTACTCTAAAATTTATTGATGTCATTAAATATATGTTATATTATCAAGATTTGATTATGTTTTATATGAATTTAAAAAAAGACAATATGTTCTTCATGTATTTAATAAATTTCAGAGTGGAGAGTATCGTTATCGCAGCATTTCCAATGCTTTAACTCAGATATACTCTAGAGAAGGAATTCGTGGTTTAACATGTGGCTTAGTTCCAACAGTCATTAGAGATGCACCATTTTCTGGAATATATCTTATGTTCTATACTCAATTGAAACAGGCTATTCCACCCGGTAGGTTAAACTCTGATGGTTAATTTTTAAATAAGGAGTTTTAGTTATATCTGTATTTTATTTACATTTTTTTATTATTTTGATTATAGAAATTTTAAAAAGCGATTTTCAAGCTGGTGCACAATTTGGGTGTGGAGTTGTAGCTGGAATTCTAGCTTCTGCTGTAACTCAACCTGCAGATGTTGTCAAAACTAAAATGCAGCTTTACCCTACGCTATATCCAAATGTTTCTTCGGTTCTTTTACACTTACACGAGGTAATTATTTTTTTAATTCTGTCCTAATTGAGCATTAAAAATAAGTTTTGAAGATAATATTTTAGTTTTGAGCTACCTTTAACACAGATTTTTTTTTTTTTATAAGTTTTATAATGTTGTATTTATGTAATTTTTATTTTGATTAACAGAGATATGGATTCAGAGGATATTTCAAAGGGTTAGCACCGAGGATGTTACGTCGGACTTTAATGGCTTCTATGGCTTGGACCTTTTATGAACAGGTGATTATATAATTACATCATAATTAATTACTTTGCCTTAATGATTAATAATGACACTTTTTAGAAATATTAAAAATCTAAATATTCCTTGAAAAGGATTGAGTGCATGTTCAAATTAAATTCTGGAAAAACATTTAGAGAAATATTGCAGAAGGCATGGTATTTCTCTATTCATTCTTTCCAAGTATTTTCTCACAGAATTTTAACTTATTATTCTGATATTCCAAACAGACGTTATTGATTTTTAAAATCTATTCTAATGTTTAATTCCACCTTTTTTTTTAATAGTTTGCTTCTTTACTTGCCATCTTTTGATGGTCTTTAATATCTAGTTTTAATTTATTTCTCTGCCCATTATGATCTTTTTTATTGTTTTTAAATCTCTTAAATCACTTTTTCTTGTGAAAAATGAATGATTAACGATGGAGTTTTTAAAGTAATAACTTCACTTTCCTCCAACACGCTGATGGCCATAAATATTCTATTTTAAAATTATTACAAAAATAACTGACACCTAGGTTAAATGCTTTGTTCTAAAGGTAAATATAAAGACATAGTACCAAAAAAAAAAAAATCATATTTTCTTTATTTCTTTTTTCTCCTTCCTTATTAAATATATGTATGTTTTTTTTTTTATGTTTTATTTATACTCGGTCACAATATTGGGATGATATTTATTTATAATTAGTAATTAAATAATTTTCAAAAATTGTCCCAAACTAATTCTGTGATGTTCTTTGATAGGCTACAAAGGCGATGGGATTAAAATGATATGGATATGGTTACCATTAAAAATGTACCTATGAAGGGTCCTGGAAGAATTCTATGTTGTATCGCTCCAGCTCCAAGCAGGCAGATCTGAGAATGAGATGAATGAGCTAGCAACGTAATTGAAGTCATTGAAAACAGTACTGTTCAGAGTATTGAAATTTCTTTGATAGTGTTTTATGCTTTACATTTGGTCCAGAAAAGTAATCATTAAAACACTCAACGAATTGTTAACTTTAGTATTAAATTAAGTATATTAAGTTTAATTTGTGAAGATATTTTTTTCACTATGTCTAATTATTAGGTGTGATGTAAATTTTCTTGAAAAATTGTTGCACTTCACAAAGCTTAATAAATAAGTTATTTGAAAAAAATGACTGATTTGTAAACATTCTAGAGTACAGTACTATTGCAATGTGATATTCCTAATATGTGCCTACTATGCAATATGTATATGGAATTAAAACAAAAAATAATATTATTAGAAAAATATTGTTTATGACATGTATTTTTTGAAAAATTTAAATAAAACTTTATGAATTTTATGACAATTGATTGATGCCTTGAAGATACCTCATCATTTTTACCTTTGAAGTAAGAATTTATATATAACCTGATTCAATTAATTTTTATTGGCTACTGAGTCAATAGCAAGTTTTTAATATTTACTATTGAAATTTCTATATTAGGTACAAATTGAAACATAATACAAAACTGAATCTGTAAAGCATAAATGTATTAATGTATGACAAAGTTAAATTTATTAGAACAATTTATTATTACATCAAATAAAAAGGTTTTTAGATAGTTACATCATTTGTTTAAGTATTCAGGTAGTTTAAAATATTATTCACAAAGTGAGCTGTTTATTTTTAGTGTTTTCATAAATAAAAAGAGAATACAAATACTCTTAAGAATACTGAAAAACTAGAGATGCATAATCCTTTTTTTTTCTAATGTTATTATTAGTTTCTATGTTATTATTACTGATGTTATTATTACTGTTTCTTAATCTTTATTTCTTATTTATTCTTTTAATTCCTTAAAGTTCATAGATCAAGATGTGCTTAAATAAAAACAGCTTGCTCTCTTTTATGTTAGTGACATTTTAATTTAAATAATTTAGTTCTGATGATAGCCTAGATGCTGAAACAATTCAGTTTTTTTTCTCTCTGTTCCTTTTTCTACTGGTTAATCTGAAGAGCCCATCAAGGGACTTATTTCATTAATTCTTATTTTATTTACAAAACAATTTATGAAAGTCACAAAAAAGATTTATGAAAAAGATAGGTTTTAATTCCAGTTATAAAATCATTTTTTTCTATCCATCCACTGATTTATCTAAATATTTATACTGAGGAATATGTTGAGGATCTATAATAGTCATATCTATGTATGGGAGTTAAATTGTTGAGGTAAATCACTTTAGATTTTTTTCTATTAGATATATGTTTTCTATGGATTCTGTATAATGGATAATTAGTACACATATCAGTTGATTATTTATGGAATTCATTAAGTTTGAAATTGTCATTTTTATTATTATTTATATGGAAATCAAACTGTCATTGATCAAGTTTGATTCCTGACTGTTAACTATTTAAATTAATCCTGGTAAATTTCAGTCAGTTGGAATAAGAATTACAGTATTAAATAAATATTGTGATTATATGGACTCAACAAATGTGTACTATTATTAGTATAATGTAGTCAAATAAATGTTCTACTACAAACTGTTATATTTTCTATTGATGTATTGCTGTGTATTAATTTATTATTAGTAATTTTTATGAAAACTGAATATACTTAGTTATCTATGAAAAATAAAATTTTCTCTAAATATCAAATCAATATCTCTAAAGTGAGTATGAAATTATTTTATGGTTTGACAATTTTCATTTTCTTTGCCCCATGAATATCTATTTTGAATATTATTGAATTTTTTTTCTTCTAGAGTTTTACAACCAAATTATTTTTTAATTCTTTTACACTCATACTGATATATCATATTCTATTGTGTATCCATGGTATGACAACAATTTCTTTCTTTTTTACCAAGTTCAGTCCCACAAATTTTCTATATAATCTAATTTAGCTTTAATTAATATATAGTGGACTCTTACCAAAGATGGCAACCTATCAAGTCACATCTATTCCCTCCAGCTAACGCTAACATTTGTCATCTAGAGCAATTAAAGTGATTTGATGGAATGATGTCCTTGGAGTGGGTATAGATAGCCTCAATGGAATAAATATGAAACTTATATATATATATATATATATATATATCCCTATATATATATATATATATATATATATATATATATATATATATATATATATATATATATCCCTATATATATATATATATATATATATATATATATATATATATCCCTATATATATATATATATATATATATATATCCCTCTCCACAAGATCTCGTCCTTCCGACCTTTATACACCTTTCCACAAATCGGCCTCATTTCAACACTCCTTTATTGTCCGATCCACCACATTTTGGAATTCCATCCCACTTAAAATCCGCCATGCACCATCCTTATCCACATTTAAAACCCTCCTTTTCCAATTCCTCCTTACAATTCAATCAGACGCTGGGTAGCCTATATTGTATTATTATACTATTGTTGCATTGTATGTATGTATATGTGTATGTATGTATATGTATATATATATTAATATATGTATATTGTATATATACTATTGTACTATTATTGTATTCTCACTATTATTGTATTATTGGGTGTATATATTGTGTATGTACGATTACACTATTATTGTATTTCGATTATACTATTATGTTCTACGAACATACTACTATTACTATAACATCTTTATTATTATCTGTCGCTCATTTATAATTTCATAGCGTATTGTGTATAGCAACTATTTTGCAGTATTAGGACATTATTTCTCATATTATGGCTTCCGATATCTGTACAGTTATGTAAACAATTCTTTTATCCCTTATTTTTTAGTTGTTTTTTTTGTTTGTTTGTTTGTTTTTGTTTATTGTAATATACATTTTGGCCAGATGTAATGTTTAATTTTATGTACAATATTGTTATTCTCAAGGGACGTAGTCCCAGAATAAAGTTGATTCTTCTATCTATATCACCCATGATATGTAGAATAGTCGACTAGCTTCCTTCAATATATATATATATATATATATATATATATATATATATATTTTTTTTTTTCTGTTGGTTCTACTGACCTTGTAGATCTTTGACTGCCAGAACCTGCCTTCTCCACCTCTGCCTATATTGGGCTACTGCTTGTCAGTTTGCAGCTTGAAGCTCAGCCGTATCTTTGTTTATCCTATCTATCCATCGGGTTTTCGGCCTCCCACATGGTCTCTTGCCTACTACTCTGGCATTCATTGTTGTGTAAAGGAGAATGACCAGTTTTTTTTAGCAGTTCTTTATTATTCCTTCTCCATATTTTAAGGTTCAGATCCCAGATAGGTCCCATTATCATAGGAAGGACTTTCCTTTCAAATCTCTCAATTCTGCATTCTAGGGTGCCGGTTAGATCCCAGGTTTTACAGTCTTATAGCAGAACTGACATTATATCCTAGGCATTAGGCATTTTATCATGGCTCTTAGTTTGAGATTTTTCTGGATTTCAGTACACTTGAAAGAGAGAAGAAAGCTCTGTTCGCATTTGTTATTTGCTGGTCTATCTCTGTTAGTTGATCATTTATTGAAGTTATCGTGGAGCCGAGGTATTTTAATCTGTCTACTTTCGGAAATGACTTAGAGTCCATGCAGATCATGCCAGTAGGATGGATTTTTGGCTATCATATATTTTGTTTTATCTTCTTTGACTTGTAGCTCGATTTGCTCTGCTTCTATTAACAGAGTCCGAGTGAGTCTCTCAATATCCTCTTGATTGTTTTCTAGGACAGCTATCAGAAGGAATCGGGATGTGGTTTGCCAGGATGTTAGTATCCCCCTTGAGGTTCGGTCCATGGACGGTCTGTTAAGGGGAAAGAAATATAGTTCGTCATACGCCTGCTGTCTCTGAGCAGACATAATCCATGGTTCTAGACCGATTTGTCATTGTCCTTGAACCGGAGTTAGTCGATTTGAAGGACACTGCCAGATTGGCTCCCAAGGGATCGGTTAGGGGTGGTCTTTCGCTGCACCATGGAGATCATGGTTCGTAGCAATGTTGAGATTGGGTTAGCCCCTCCAGGGTATCTGTGTTCCCGCAAACAACGCTGTAGGGAAACCACAGCGCCATCCATCTCGCGGCCAAAGATCATCATGGTCTGCAGCGTCAACCGAAAAAAAAAAAAAAAAAAAAAAAAAAAAATATATATATATATATATATATATATATATATATATATATATATATATATATATATAAGAGCAATCTACATTAATCTACCTGCTGTCAAAGTGGAATTGAAGAAAATAGTACTGCTACGTTTTGGGGTGTTAAATTTTATTCAGGATGACACTGGATAATTATTGATTGTAATTATCCAGAATTATTTAATAAAATTTAACTACTAAGAAGTAAGTAAAATAGATTTGGTCCATGATTAATTAATTGGATTTCTTTTCACAAAGGCTGGTGTGTGTTTACTTTCTAATTACCTACATTTTACCTGTGATTATAATGATATAAATAGGTGGCATGATTAAAATAACTTTTACTTACAAACATAATTTATTTAAATTTTTAATAAAAAATATATACAAATTATATTTACAAGAATCAATGAATTTAATAATTAATTGTGAAGGCATGTTTTCAGATGAACTGTTTTGAAATTTATATTGCCATGAAATATTATAACATCGTTAAAATTAATTGATGGGAATAAAACTTAGCGATTGTATATATAATAGTGTAGTTGATAGATGTCATTGCTGTATCTGCGAAGTTGAGATCATCTAGTCATGGTTCATGTAGGGGCAAGGCTTCAGTCTCCCAGCCAGAAGAAAACATAAGGCCGTCCTCAAGGCCGGATCTCCACATCAGACCTCTCCTTCAGGCCGGGCAGCGACATAAGACCTCTCCTCTACGCATCTCAGTAGATTTTATCGAAATATTTAGGGTGGGGCAAGAATGGTTCTCATTGGTTGCAATTTTCGTAGCATAAAGGATAACAACGCCTCCAGGCCGTACGGCTGTTTCCTCTTTCTCGAAGGTGTTTTTTCCCTCCCTTGCTTAGACAAGCCTTCCGATCCTCTCCAAAGATGCCCATGTAAGACCGGTGTCGGTCCTTTGGTGTTTTTGCCGACCTCTGTCCTTAAGTATTTTATTGCCCATCACGAAAGGTTGCATTCTCTAGGGGGTCTTTACATCTGTTAGCAATTATGATTAAGACTATACTTATTCATTCGAAACCATTATAGCAATAATAATAATACATAGCAGTACCAAAGTCCCCGAAAAAATGAAATAAAATAAATAAAAGAACTTGAAAAACCAAAGTAAATTATAATTATTCCAGTATGAATTAGGGTTAGGAATTATCATTTAAACATGAGAATTGCCAGAAGGGTATTTAATTTGGTTGCCCACCTTCATATTACATATATGCATGAGTAGATTTTAGTTGTTGAATGTTTACAATGGGGGTGGTAGATAATTTAAAAGACTCTGATTATAAAGACATTACAAATTAAATTAAATTTTTTTTATTCCTATCCTTCCTCGCCTTTTTGGCCATTTGTGTTTTTTACGGGTCAGGGGAAAGGATAAGGGACTAATACTCGGGTTTAAAGCTTCCCAGAACCAGGATTTAGACTCATAATCTTCGGTTTATCAGGATTTCAGGCAACGAGAAATTTACATACACATTAGATGAATAGGCTAACCCGCCTTCAAATAGGACAAAATCCTCTTCACTCGTATCAACAGCTGATTTAGTGGGAGTGGGAGGGAATAATTTTCGTGCTGAAGCTCCTCCAAAAAAAATAATATATTTTTTTCATTGATTTATTTTCATTTCAATGTTATAAGCACAGGCGGATTTACGGAAGGCTGAAGCTCCCCCTCCCCCAAAACGGTAAAATATAACCATGTTTTATACAAAAAAATATTTAAAACTATCTCTTAAAGTATTATTGTTTGTGTAATTACATTTAATAGGACTTCAAGAATCACACCATTTCATATAGGTAGTTGATTTCTTTCTTTTTTTTTTCAAATTAATTATCGTTATATATATGAAAAAAATCTTTCGGGCTGAAGCCCCCTCCGCAAATTAAATCCTGGATCCGCTAGTGGTTATAAGAACCACTTCTATGAATTATCTGAAACACTAGATGCACTTCTACTAGGGAAATTAAATTTTCAAAATCTTCGTTAAAGAATTATTTGACCTAATAAAAAATAAACTAACAACTGAAGAATGGGAACCGATAAAATCCGAATAAACAGCTAGCAAAAATATTTCAGATTCGATATATGTGCGATCCGAGTTTTCACCGATGTCGAACTCTTCCTTCATGGGCACTTCATTTCAGAAAAGTCTAAACTATTTGCCTAGGTTGCTGTGAGGCATCTTTTATTAGTCCTATCGTAGTCTGGACCTGAGAAAAGTATTGAAATAATACTTACAAAATATCTAGAAAAATAGGTAGAATCGGTAAAAATAAACATTAGTTCCAACAAATCCGTTTTAGGGTATACATAAAACACTTATGCACCTAGTTGGAAATGTTTTCATAATAATTCACTTATTCCTGTTCTAATTTGATTTCACTAAACCTTATGGCATCTTACAATTTTAGGGCTCTGTTTATATGGTTAATTTATTTAACTGTTAAGTTGATATAGATTCGATTAAAATAATTTAAATAGTGAAATTTCATCAAAAGGCAATTGACTTGACAAACATTATATTTGCATTAACAAGCTTATGAAGTAAAATAAAATTTCGTATTTTTTTTTATAAAATACATTCCAACTTCACTATGTCACTTATTTAATTCTTTTTTTTTAGCTAGATGCTCCCGCCTGTACACTCTTCCATAACCTTTAGAGCTTACAACCTCCAGTAACCTGTGGTGGAGTTAATCTTCTGGTTATCTGATTTAATAGCATGGATATTGAAAGCAATCCTTTAAAGGAAGTTGATCCTATAAATCAAACCGTTAATGATCAATCTTCAAATAATGTCGTAAAGGAAGGGAAAGCTGAAATATTCACCTCTAGTGCTAACAAAGTGTTCTATAACCCAGTTCAAGAATTTAATAGAGACCTTAGGTTTGTATATGAATACTTGGGAGGATTATTACTTGTAGAAATATTACAATTCTCATTGTCAGTATTGCAGTTCTCTCTGTTTTTGCTGAGGAACATATTAATGAAAAAAAGTCAAAGAAAAGAAATGTTGAGGGTGATTTGAAGGATGTTAATTACCAAGTTCCACCAGCTGGTGTTCCTTGTGAGGTTAAGTATGAAGTATTTTTTTGTGATATTATAAGAGTTTATGAACTACAAGGCTTAATTCTCAAAATCTTCAGCAATTGGCTTTCTTATCAAACAATCTTATTAATATTTCATTGCTTATCAGAATTACCTGTTTTAAGCCATCTTAATTTTTTTTTCTCGATATGTCATGGTTTCTTGTAATAAACTGGATTGACGTAATGTGTAAGTTCCAAACAAATTGTCACTTCTCCCATTTATTCAATTGCTAAGTCTTTTATTAAAATTTTAAATGATTGAAGATATGATTAGACTTTATCAGGTGTAAACACATTTCATCAAAAGTCTTGACATTTCATTATGTGTTCAGCAAAGCCTTGGCATTATAATGAAATAAAAGAAACTGGTACTAATTCACAAGTGTCCCATATGGATTGTGCTTGGTTTAAGATCACTTCAATCACAAATAGAATGTCAGAAATAATGACTTTATCTGGAATAGTATTGAGAAAACTGAATTCAGATTACTCGTGTTTCAAAAAGGCATAATTTTTGGTAATCATCTTCACATTTTCCTGCTTATACATATAGAAAATAATATGAATTCAACTATGCGATGATTAAATATTGAAATAAACATAATCTTTATGTTTCTGACCAAAGATTCAGATAATCACAACCTCTTGTACAGTTTTGGATTTTTAAACAAAATAATTATGAATTACAATTATTAATAAGGCAGAAATAAAAAAAAAAAAGATTAAATTACAGAATCCATTGTAATGTCAAAGGTAGTAAAGAATAAATCTTAATAATATAACAGCAAAAATTAATAAATAAAATAATCAAAATTTAAAAACCTATGAGAATACAATATAATCTAATAATAGTTTCATAAGTATCAAAACACTCTAGCAACTACTTGATAAATGAAGAATTTTTAGTGTAAATATTAACGTTATTTAAATTATTCATTGTTTTTGATTACTAAGTATAAATAAAAATTAATAGTTCAATACTTTTCAATTAAAATAATAATGATAAAAGTGGCATTGTTTAGTTATTTTTTTCAAGTTAAAATTTTTTCTCTCCTCCCAGAGGGGGAGGGCTAGGGGAGACGCTCCTCCCTTGGATCTGTTAGTGTTTCAATCACAATTGGCCATTTCTGGCATTCTATGTACATATGTGATCTAGGCCTGTAAGTCATTCAGACAGGGCACTTGCGAATTAGTATAATTCAGTAAATAGTATGTGAATAATTGCTTTTGGTACTGAATTAACTTCTTTCTTTCATATTAGTGCGATATAATTAATAGTAATTACTAAATTTGTTTCCTACTTCTTTCAAATCAAATGTATGTAACACATAGTATTGGAACTTCAAAGTTTTGGCTTGCTGCAACTCATAAATTTTATTATTTAAGATGACCACGGATGACCATTTTTCAAAATAATAAACATCTAACTTGAAAGTCATTTTGAAACAGAAGTGAAATTAACAAACTAACAGATAAAAGACTTAAGAACAAACTAATGTTCCAATTAGTATTTAGTTGGAGTAATTGGATTTTGGCGTGTTATTTTTAGGTTTAAGTGGCTTGAATTCTAGCTGTTCCTCATCACAAAGGAATTCATATGCATGATTGTGCCTCATTCTGTCTGGCATGCTATGGCTGGGGCATAGTAATTGTTAATAGGTCACTTTTAAAGGGACGTTCTGAAATATTTATAACACTATAGACTGGAATCAAAGTTTAGATTTTTAATTGATATTTATTTTTGCAAGGCTTAAGCTTGTGTTAATTGAATTAGCATTGTAGTACTAATCATTATGTAGTGCCATTGTATTTGTAATTATATTTTCTCTGGTAAGAGCAATGGAATACTATATTATATTTATGATATAATAACGTTTTATTTTTAAATTATATATTTGGTATTGTTACTTAAATTTATTTTTCTTCTACAGCATGGAATAAGAATACTAGAAGCACTATCAGCAACTGGCCTTAGGTCTATCAGGTTTGCTCTTGAAATTGAAGGACTAAAAGAGGTTGTTGCTAATGACATTTCTGCTCAAGCTGTTGAAGCAATCAAACGTAATGTTGCTCACAATAAAGCCAGTGACCTAGTGAAAACTAATCATGGAGATGCATCGTATGTAATTTAATAAAATGTTAATCGTAGATCTATTTTCAAGAACATATTTTAATCATATATTTTTTTGTTGTAGACATCTTATGTACTCGTCAAAGTTAAGTTTTGAATGTATAGATTTAGATCCTTATGGTTCACCATCACGCTTTCTAGACTCAGCTGTACAAGCTGTTAAAGATGGTGGTCTTTTACTTATCACTTGTACTGATATGGCAGTGCTTGCTGGTAATGCACCTGAAACATGTTATATCAAGTATGGATCAATCTCATTAAGAACACCGGCTTGTCATGAAATGGTGGGTAGATATTTATTAGACACACACAGCTTTTTTAAAATTATTAAATAATTGCTTCTCAAATTTCTTTTTAGTTACTGTAACTCAAGAAATTAATACTCTTTAGTACTGGCCTTAGACATAACAGCACCTGGGCAATAATTTCATCTCTTCCTCTCTTAAAAAATTTAATTTATTTCTAAAACTGTTTTATATTATGTAATATTTAAATATTTCAAGTAGACTGAAACGACAAGAAACCGCTCAACGTTTTCGATTACTTCAGCAGTTACTAGACAAACACTGTAAACTTCCAAATAATTACAAAAGACTCATATACATGACTTTAATAAGGCCTATTTGGACTTACGAAGTTGAGCTATGGGGCTCCACTAAACCATCAAATTCCTCTCGTATCTAATCCTTACAATCCAAAACCCTTCGTAAAATCCTCAATGCTCCCTACTTTGTTACAAATAAAACCATCCATAATGACCTTAATGTTTCAGATCTGGCCCAATCCAGATACCTATCCTTCCATAGTAAACTTCAGAATCATCCCAACCCTCTGGTTTCTAACCTTGCTTCCCCTTCAATTCCTTATAACCCTCCGAGGCGTCTGAAAACAAGATGGCCCCGTGATCTCCTAATGTAGACATGTCATTAGAGTGCTACCATTGAGTAGTTACTCAGCAAGTGTTTTCACGTCATTATATCCATATGTTAAAATTTACTAAATTTATTTCTTTAATACATTTGTAAATATCATTAAGAAATAAAAAAATATATATATTTAAAGTGTTACAAATCTTTAATTATGGGGAATATTTAGTTTTTACCCAATGACGACTTAGCCCTGGTAATGTGTTTAGCCTGTCTGTCTGTTAGTATATAATGATTTTTTGAGGCTCAAATCAAATTAATGATTTTAAACGGCCCAACTGATTTTGATGGCGCAAATGACTCAATGAGATCACATGAATGTTTTGAAACAATTTGAGCTCAAAATATTAAAACATATTTTACTAAATTTTAGGTACTCATGAATTTTTGTTCATTAATGTTTCTTTGCATTTCATGTGAAAGTTCACAATAAAATTTGAATTTTCAATACCTGGAAAACTCAAAACTTAAAATAATAAAATCCAATGATGAATATAATCCCATCTTATAATGCTGTCCGTCCTAGGAAACATAATAAACTTGCTTGTCTACTTAATCACATTGGTGGGCTGTTAATAAAGTTGAATTCTATGAGTATATATTTGGTTTACTAGTCTTTCGCCGTTCACTACAGTTAAGGGTACCTTGAAAGTCGATACATCCCATTCCAAGCACCTTTGCTTGTCAACCTAATTTATTTTTTTATATATATAATTTTTAAAAAGTTTATAGTTTATATATTACCTTTCAAAAAATATATATACTAAAATAAGTAGTTTAAAAGTAATTTAAAAGGATATTTGCAAGTAATCGATTTAAATAAGAGGTACTGAGAATAATTTTGTTTTACCCTTAGGGTCATAATATAAAAAAGGATAGTGAATTATTTTGTCATGTAACTTCCTTTATTTAAAAAAAAAAAATGTCAAAACAATTAATGCTTTTTTTAGATTCATTATACGAAAATATTTGTTATTTTTATTAATTATCATTAAAAAATATTTTTTTCTGACAAAAATTGCATTTATAATTATCTGTAGAGTCAGATCTTCAAAATGCTCGTTTAAAAAATGTCATGATCTCTTTACTTTTTATCGTTTGTTGATTACAAAGGGTGGCTGCATAACCTTGTATGGTTCTGTTATCCTGTCTTTTCCTGCATTTTATGAAATACAATAGGAAAATTAAAACAAATAAAATAATAATAAGTTTTAGTAATTATTTATGTATTCATTTTTTCAGGCTCTGAGAATAGCTCTTCAATGTGTTGCATCCCATGCTGGTCGTTATGGGCGTTACATAGTTCCAATACTTTCTGTTAGTGTTGACTTTTACATCAGAATAATTATTAAAATTTTCACTTCTCCAGCTATGTGCAAACAAACGACTAGGTAAATCCCTAATATTACTTTTTTGATATAATGTGAAAAAGTTACTCACTTTAAGTTTTATTTTGTAGCAAATTAAGTAATGTTTATCTGTGTGTTGGTTGCAAGAGTTTTTTATTTCATCCGTTGGGTTCGATGACTAAAAGGGAAGGAAAGCCACCTAAATATTCTCTACCCCATGCACCTGCAATTACAGTTTGCGAACATTGTGGCCGAAATTTCCAGGTATTTGTTTGTTACAAATTATTATGAATATCTATCTGGATGGTTGAGATGTGACACCTCATATTTGTCAAATGACTACTTAACAGAAGTGGTACAGAACTGTTTAAAAAGATTACTAAAAATCTAAACATCGTCCAAGTTTTTGTATACTTTTCATGAATCTAAGGAGACATATCAGTACACAATTATTTACTAATCAAATATTATATGTTATGGCATTCTATTTCTCACATATATTTGATGGCTTACAGTATCATGATATTAATGCCTTCAAAATAAGAATTCTGCTTTTTTTTTGGCAGTTACAAGGTGCCACATCTTAGACATCTGTTTTGATAATATGCTTGAAAACATTTTTGATAACATTTGAAAACTGGAATTAGCTAATCTTGTTTTAATTGTAATTAGTTTCAGTACCATAGACTTTGTTTATACCCCAGGATATTTCAGTATTTATAATACAGCACATTTTCTTATTCATTTATACCATTGAACTTGGGTTCTGGCATCTTTACACATCTTCCTATTTTAGCCTTGATCTTCTTCCTGACTATCGGTACAGTTTCCTATCAGCTGTTTCTCATTGATTTCTTAACCATTCATTCTCCCATCTTAGTCAACCACATTTGATAAAGCATAAAATCTTTGCTTTTTTAAAGATATATCTTTCCTTGATTGGGCCTACTCCATTGGTTTTCAGTATTATTAAATGGATTGAAATATTCAGCAGGCAATTTTCTTTTGGAGTTTTTTTCGCTTTTGAACTAGTTGGAGAGTTCATATCTCTGAAGCTTATGTTAGTATAGTCTGACTACAATGAGTTTGCAAGCAAGGAAAGAAACTTCATATAGCCTTCCCCCATTCCTGTCCCTTTGATAATTTGTCTTATTCTAATATTCTTTTAAAAGTATTTTTTAAATTTAATTATAATAAAATAAACATTGATAATCTAAATGTATTTAAAAATGTTTTGTATCTGAATTTTAATTCAATTATCTATTATTAAATTTTAAAAAATCTGTTTTTTTTTAAATAAAAAACTTATTTAGGATTTTTTATTGTATAATGATACCAGGAAAAAACGATTTAACCCTTTTAAAATTTCTTTCATTTATTTTTCTCAATAGATTAGGCCTTATTGTGGGCTAATTTGTCCTTTAAGTCTCACTAATTTTGCTGTCTTGCTATTTATTTATGTTTATATTAAACTTTTTTTTTTTTTTCCTACGCCTAAGCAACTTGATCAGCTTGATCAGCCATGCGTACTCTTCCAGTCCAATATAATTTTTCTCTTCTAGCATAAGGGCTGTCCAATTCACCAAAGGAACATTTTATAATGCAGGGCTTATTCAGGGCTTATAATACAGGCTTGTAATGCAGGATGTGTATTAAGATGTTCTCCTGTCATAGTATCCAAGTAACACAGAGGGCATGTCGGGCCATCTTTTATACCGATGCGGTGGAGGTGCTTCTGAAGTAAATCATGCTCTGTGAGCATTCTAAAACATGTCGCAGCTTGCCCTCTTGAGAGGTCTCTCGGGAACATATTAAACATAAGTTATGCTTAAAAATAAAATGTTCCTGTTTTTTTTTATTATCCTACTACATAAGATTATACAATTGGTAATATTTTTTATCCACATTGGAAATATTATTTTTCCATACTGAGATGAAATAAATAACAGAATTTTAAACATAATTTTTCCTGTCATTTTTATACAACAATAAATTGTATTATAGAACCCTTTTGTATAAGATATATATATATATATATACACACATATATAAAATTCTGTTCTTAATGAAGTAGATTAATGAAAAGATTGAGCATGAGTGCAGGAGACTGATGGGAAGAATATTGGACTCAAGTTTGGCTAGCACTATTGGTCTTTTGATTATTTTATAAAGATTAGGAGGCCAAGGTAGCCAAACATTGGCTTGTTAAAGCATTGGCCACTTTATCATTCTCTAGTCTATCTGAGTCTGTTCGAATCCGGTTTGGATGGTTCGAAATTTAACTTAACAAATCATAAGATTTTTAAGAAAGTTTGTGTGTTGCCCTGTTTCGATCCTCTCTTTGTTTCTTTATCAGGAATTCAGATGATAAATGCAGTTACAATCAAACTCCACAGCTAACCAAGTTCAGTGAAACTTGAATTAGATGAATGAGCTTTGATGGGATTGGGATATAACATACTTCATATAGTTTTGTTCTCTTGGTGCTATTATATGAGCTCTAAAAATTAATTTAAACATGGTGGATATTTATTTTTGTGTTTCTTAATTTTTTTCCATATAGTTTTGGCCTCTTGGTGCTGTTATATGAGCTCTAAAAATTAATTTAAACATGGTGGATATTTATTTTTGTGTTTCTTAATTTTTTTTCATATAGTTTTGGCCTCTTGGTGCTGTTATATGAGCTCTAAAAATTAATTTAAACATGGTGGATATTTATTAATTTTTTTTTAGGAATTATGTGAAGCTCGCTGATAATGAAATGCATTAAAAAAAAAAATTCTAAATATTATTGTGACGTTGTGTCAAAATTTTAAAAAAATCGGTGAAGAACTTTCGGAGATAAGCCGTTTGGAACAAACTACCATTTATATTTTTATTCATATACTATTTAATATTTTTATTTATTGATAACACTAAAGCTCGTCAATATCTATTAAAAAAAAAAAGAAGGAAGAAAATCGGTTGAATAATAGAAGAGTAAAAGGGGCTGTACCGATTTGTGTTTGCCTATTATATAATGATATTTATCTTGCTTAGATTGGTTATAATTATATTTATTTTGCTTAGTTTGATTATATTATTATTCATTTTGCTTAGCCTGGTCATATTATTATTTATTTTATTTAGTACTTTAAGGATTGTTCTTTCTTCCTTCATTATTTATAATTTTTCATTTAAATGATAGATTGGTGGACCTGTTTGGAGTGCAGGTTTGCATGACAAAGATTTTATTAAGAAGATCCTCGCCCATGTAAATAAAAATTCAGAAAAATACAATACCTACAGGAGGATAGAAGGTGTTTTATCGCTTTTGCTGGATGAACTGGAAGCGCCGCTGTACTGTACTCTTGACTCATTGTGTTCTAAAGTTCATTGTATCACGATCCCACTAAGAATATTTCGGTAGGTTTATTGTGCGATTTTTGTTTTAATAATTTATTAACCTTATTTATTTGTATATATTCTGGTAGCTTTTTATACTTATTTCTATTAATTTATTTTGTAGAAGTGCTCTATTGAATGGAGGTTATGATGTCTCTGAATCTCATGCTGCACCAAATTCAGTAAAAACAAATGCACCATTCAGCTTTATTTGGGATATTATCAGGTATAAATCTTATTTGATCAAATTTAATAATTTTTGAAATCGTAAAATCTTTATTAAATTGAAATCATTCATGTTAACTTTGTGGTTGTAGTTATGTCAATCAATAAATAAATTATTGATTAACACTTTAAATGCCTTGAGCTCTTCATGATTAAGGGTTTACCTAGAGATCTTTTTAAACCAGAAAGAGAAAATATGCTGATTAGCAATTATAGTGTTTTTAATCAAAGAAGCAATTTTGGATGTGGAAAGTTATGGAACAAACAGTTCTTTAATTGAACCTTAAGTTTGGTAAAGGCCGCCTAAGATCTACAAGATATGTAAAGGCAATGGAAAAAAAGAAAATATATGTATTCACACACATATATAAAAGAATATATTGATATTATATTTAAAATTATATTATTTTAACTGTTTATTAGGAAACCATATCCATGCCAATAAAATAAATTTATTTATTTATATTTTTTTCAATATTTTCATAGCAAAAAGTGTAAAAGACAAAGTTACAGATGCCGTTTCTAATGTTTCAACAGTACATTACAATAATTAATATTTTAAATACTGTAATACAAAATAATGAAGGCCTTATAAGTTATATACATTTTTAAAAATATAATTGTGTAAGAAACATGAAAAAAGTATTGTGCCATACAAATAAAAATATCTTAGCAGCCTCTTTGATACTTATTATTGGAAAAAATTTTAAATTTGTATTTGTATGCCAAATGTAAGATTTCTCACATAACTATACAACCTCCAAGTACAGCTATTTTATACAACCCTCAGCATTGTGGATTAGAGTATTTAAAAGATTGTACTTATTTTTAAATATTGTGCAAATTATTTAAAACTATCATTTAAAAAAAAATGTGTAAGAAAACTTTTTTTAAATTTTATTTTATTTCATGACAAAAGAGAATAAATTCCTGCCCTTTTAAAACTCTTTTATTGATCTTTATGTTTTATAAACACAACCTGGAAAAGTCAGGGAATTCCATAATAAGGTCTCTGGTGACTTGCAAAGACATTGAACAGTGTATTCTGGTGGATTATTTATTTAATTACATTTTCTATTGCTTTATTGTTAATTATAATTTAGAAATTTTTAGCTATTGTTGATAAAATTACACTGTTAAATTTATTGTTGATAGTGGAATTTTTGTCAATTTGTTTGGTTTCAAAAATGATTGAATAGGAAGAATAAAAGTTGAAACACGTATCAGTGAAGCTAACTCTTTCGTAAACACAAACCTTCATTTATTCATTTGCTTTTTATATATATTGTTTATTCCATAACCTTCTGGATGCTCTTAAAATGCATTTACATGTACTCATCAATAAAAGTATTCATATAACTAAATTGAAGACATAAAGTTTTTCCATATCTTATAACCCCTTTATTATACCATATCCATACTTAAATTATTAACTAATTTTTTTCTATAATCTAAGTTTCTTAATATTATTAAGAAGTTTCTTAATAGAACAACAAATTAATAAGTTTCTAATATCCCTTAATAATTTGTTCTGCTCTTTAAAAATTTGTTTCATTGATCTATTTGTGATTTATATTTTTTTAACTGACAAAGTTTAGTCGGTTTGTAATCGAAGAGCTAAGTGGAAGAAGTAACAAAAAACATTTTTTTTCTAATGTGTTATTCATGTTTATGCTTCTGAATACTACTGCAGTTTTAGATTTAGAAATAAATAATTAATCTCAATGCTATTTAGAAAGTAATATTTTTTTAAAGAAAAAATCTTTTTTTTTCTGTATTGTCTCTTAGTACGTTCTTGCACTTAGCTCTTCAATCCTCAAGAAAGATTTTTTTATTTATCAATTTAATTAGCTTATGTAAATATTCAATTTTTAAGGGAATGGGTGAAGACACATCCAGTCGGGAAAAAAAGGTTGGAGAAAGATTTTGTGGCTCGATCACTTCTTGACAAAACTCCTGACAATGTTGATTTCTCGATTCACCCTGACTCTGCGACCCAGGCTGGTGAAATTCTCAGATTCCAGTGCAACCCACTGCCTCACTGGGGACCTGGTTACAGGGCCACTTCTAAGTAGGTTTATTTCAGTCAGATTATTTTACTATTTTTGGAAAAATATACACACACATGTGTGTTTATATATTTACCTTATGGTCATTGATTTTATTTGAAAGACCTACAGTTCAGTTATTCATTGTTTAGTAATTTACAAAACTGCTTATGTCCAGGAACTCGAAAAATTGAAACATACAACAAAACTGAAAAAACTGGCCACCATTTGTATTTGGTTCACAAAAATAATAATAAACAGTAAATAATAATAGTAATACATTTTTTTAAACTACTTATGTAAATAGGCCTACAAAGTATATTTTTTCTGAAGTAGTCTGATTACTTTACGAATTTGAAATGGATTTATCCAACATGAAATAACAAATAAACTACGTCAATATTTATTTATTAAGAATATATCAATTATATAATAAGCTATAAAAAGTACTGATTAATGATTGATAAATCATATTACATTCATATTTTCAAATTGCAGCCTTTTGGAAGTGAAAGAAGAAAAAAGAAAGCAACAGGAAAAGAAGAAAATCAATCCAGATGAATCTGTAAAAAATGACGCTTAAATTGGAGAGGGAAAAATTCAGAAGATCGTCTATAATTTATTTTAATGACATGCAATATAAACATTGTTGTAAATATTTATTATGAATATTATTATAAGTGACCATTGTAAATTTCTGGTGGAATAAATTTTTTAATCAGTTGATCTTTTTTTTTCTTTTTTTATATCGTATAAAAACTTATTTTTATATTTATATCCCATACGTGAGGAACTTTTTTATCATTAAAGGCCACAGTAAAGTTAGGCAGTGCAAATGGAGATCGCAATAATTCTTTATATTTTACTGTTGCTATTTATATTTATCACTAAATACACACATTCACATACTTTTATTCAACTTAATTCTATTAATTTCCAAATTTTTGGTACTTAAACAATTAAATATTATTAATTCTAACACTAGATTAATAAATATCCTGTAAAAACATTTGGAGACCGTGTGTGGCCTCCGAGGCCGCAACTATGCCACAGAGGCCAGATGCAGGCTGCAGTTCTCCACCTATTGTATATTCTATAATAAATTCTAATTATAACAAATTTATTCTGATGAGATAGAAGTATCCTTTTATTCTTTAAAACTAAAACCCTCATTGGATTCTTCCTTTAAACTAACCCTCAATAATTAAACATAGAGCCCATCTGAATATTTCTTGTCACAGTACTGCCCCTTTAAAAAAAATCCTTTATGATGTATACTTCCTGTTTTTGGATTTCCTTATCCACCTCCATACCTAAAACCTCAACTATAACTTCATTTAAACATATTTCTCCATTTTCTTTACTATCAAACTTCTGAATATATGTTAAGATAATGTTTTTATTTTATTAGTGTGACCTGTCTATTATTTTATTGTTGTAATTTATATCGATTAGAAGTGGAAACTAGTAAGCATATTGACTTTTATTTATTTAGAATTAATTATTTTAATTTATTTCTTTGTTCGCCTGTTATTGTTAAGCACCTTAATCTCAGAATCAATTTTTTAAAAGATATCTGAAAATTTTTGGTTTATTACTTTTTCTTATTTATTTAGTTTCTGCTGACATTTTTTGAAGGATATGAAATGTGCATTTTTTCAATGATAGTTCATCAAATAAAACTAGAAAACATTCAATTTGGCAAGCTTTGACTGGTTTTTAAACTTGGCAGTAGTATGGAAAAAGAGGGGATAGGATGTTCAGGGACACATTCTGTGCAAATGAGATAGATTCATAGCTGTGCTGTGTTTTTAATACAAGTGTGTGTGCGTGAGAAAATTTTAATTTTTTTTTCCGTTGATTATGATAAATAGTGGAAACCACCTCAATGTGCCCTCTATAGTGCCTAATAGCCTCGGTTGTCCTCTACCTGGTAAGCTGGTATGTGTACTGTTATGAATGCTTAACCTTCTTACCTTATTTTGTTTTAAGCTACATTAATTTAAGTACTTATCTGAAAAATTAGAATTCTAAATGAGGCGAGTATACAGAGTATGTAATATAAGTGAAAATATTTATCTAATGAAATTAAAGTATTTCATTAACTGTTTATCTTACTTTTAGTTTTTATATTCATATCTTATTATACCAATTTCGCTAATTTAAATTATTGAATAAATGTTAAAAAGAATTAAAAAAAAAATTCCTTCTGTTATATAGTCTGCATTGAAAACAACAGAAAACACATTTACGATTTGTGCAGTTGAATTACATTGCAATAAAGTTGAATTGAAATATTTCGCAGAGAGAAACCTGACCTATAAAAAGCTATAATATATTAATATTTAATCTTAATATTTAAATTAAAACTAATGACAATTATTAAATTAAAACTAATGACAATTAGTTAACATTTATAAAATAAAAGTTCTGATGATGGAAAATATTCTCCAAAACATAAATTAGAATGTGTTATATTCAATAAATTAAAATTGAAAGCCGTCAACTTGAAATTATTTTAAAGAAAATCTTACAATCATAAAATTTATTCAAATTAATAAGTGTCTTTTTTATTTTGAGTAAAATTGTAAGTAGGGTCAGGAAAAATATAAAATTATATTAATAGTGTAAAACGTTTATTTTTAACTGAAATCTAAAAATTATTTGCAAATAATTACCTATAAGATATTTAATTATATTTACCTATGTAATTATTTACCTGTTATAAATTTAATTCTACATGTGATTAATTGATATTGTCTACATTAATAACTGATCTTCAGTCAGATGAAAGAGGGATGGATATTCATTGTTTATATTAATGTTTTATCGAGTTTGATTACCCATGATATTTAATTGTTTAAAAACTATTGTTCTTGGCTCTGAAGAAGGGGATTATAATAAAAAACATTATGATCTGATTGGAGGAACTATTGTAAAAATAAATTATGTTAACATCGCTGGTCGTCTCCCGATTTCCCTTAATTTCTGTTTCATTACTTGGTCATAAACTTTACAAATAGTAAATAAATATTCTCCTAACAGTATAGTTTTATGAAATCATATTGTTAAAAAAAAAACTGTTATTATGGTTATATTATTGACAAATTGGTATCAAATGTGGACACCTGTGATATTAAGAGCTGTTATAAGACTAAGGAGAATATATTGCAATAAGTGAGGTCTTAAAGATATACGTCAAAACCAAAACATCAAACCAGTGATATGTATATTTAACATAAAACTATATTGATTTACTGGTATTACGTTATTCTTTATAACTTTAAATATTTTATTAAAGTACACTGATTAAATTACCTTGTCCTTTTTAGGTAAAATTGAAAAAAAAAAATACAAAACTTTTTGTTTACTATTATGTTTCAGTTAATAAGATTGTTGAGTGTATAGAATTATATTGCATAAAATTGTAACTCCAAAAGTTAAGATAAAATATAAAAACGACAATTTAAAATAAAAAAAATATGAGACATAAAGAAAAGATAAAAAGGTGGAATAAAAACTGAATACTTCAAGAATAAAATTAATATTCGCTATATGAAATACTTTCACTTCATAAAAATCTAGAACAATTTCTGTTGAAAAAAACATAATAGTAGGAAATGGGTTTGCAGTGTTTTGAAACTCTGTGCCTAAATAAATTACAAAGTAATTCATAAATTGTATTGCGACAATTAAGTTAAAAGAAAATTCAAGAAAACGGGCGATTATATCCTGAAGTTGTTCGCCATTTAAACCAAAATAAATAAATAAATAATTGTATTTTGTCATATGATCTACAAGGGATTAAATTATTTTTCTTAAAAAGTTCGGAAGATGGGCGTGCATCGTCGAATTTATTTAAAGTTATAGATTAAAGAATATTTATGAAAGTTCTTTCGAAATTTTGCTCATTGTTAAATAACAGCGTTTGAGAGAATTGTGAGGTTTCGTGTTTGAAAATAATTGTATTTGGCGGGAAACCTATTGAAAAAGTTTTTCATAAATACTTTAATGAGCTCTGAAAAGCATTTAAATTATAATTTAGAAATATTAAAAAAAAAATAATTTTGATGGAATGCCCTATAAAAAAAAGTATACGAAAGTAGTAATGATCAAAATGTATCTATTTTGGGCATTAGTTACATATTGTTATTAAAATATATTTTCTATTTGTCTGAAATTCAGTATTTTTTTGTTTATTTTGTGGATCAGACTAATAGGTTTACCTTACCATCACTTTAAATGAATTTAGTAAACAACGTTGGCCAGCCTGCAGGCTTGAAATTAATCAAAATTTCACGGATCAGAAAAACATAAAGGATACATTTTGTTTGTTTATTTCTTTGGAGGTTGATGTAATATTCAAAGATGATAAAGTCACATGTTATATGGCGAAAAAACTGTAATAAAAATATAGTAATATATGATAACCACGGAGGTTATCGAGGCGCCGTTAAATCAATAGCGGTTCTGCTCGGGCGCAGTGGGCCAATGCCAACTTCTGCTGTTTGTTTGATACAGTTAAGCCTCGTTTACATGATGACAGATACCGCCATGGTAGAAACTGTCGCAAACAATTCTATTGTGTAAACTGCAAGACATTTATTGTTCTATAAATAGTTGACAGTATCTGTCACGGTAGCTATTTTCATGTTCACCGACTGGTGAATTGTCTCATCATATCTGACTGTAATGTGATTGGAAAAACATTTTCATTTATTTTATTTCTGAACTTGAATTTGATTCTATCCAATGTTTTTATGTTATTCAATTCTTTAAAAAGGAATAAAAACTACATAATTTAATATTATTATTTTCTTTGTTAGTAATTTTGAATTTGTTTTTTCAAAATGTAATTTAGATATTGAAATAAAATTTTTGGATTTTTATTTTTTTTATAAATGTCAATTGTTCTATAAATAATTTCTGTTCTAATTCCCACCAGAATTACCGTCAGCGTATAAACGATGGTACTGATGCTGTCTTACAATCTTAATTCATCCATGACAGATATTTAGCGGAACCTCCTCTCCTCTAATTCCCCTCCTCAATCCCTCCCACCCCTCCTCACTCCCTCCCTCCTTCTCCTTCTTCTCCTCCTCCCCTCCTCTCACCATACTCCCCTCCCCTCCGCCCCTCATCCCCGGGGCTGCCACATCTAGCCCGTTGCAGGAGATACAAAATGGGGGGCTCTCCCAGGTGTTTGCATCAAATGACTGTCACTTTCAAGTCTAGGAAAAAAACGATCGTGATCAATTCTTAATTTTTTTTTCTTTCTCTCTCTTCATCTCTCTCGGCTCAATTCGATATTCCTCCGCTTGCAATAATATCTGTAATATGATTAGTTCGATTGCTTATCTTACCCAGATAGCCGTGTGTAATATACGTCGAGTGCCCAAGTGTTTACCTGAATGTTAACTGTTGTGGTTAGTAAAAAAATCTTCATATTCATGTCTGGGTTATTTAATATGGCACAAGGGAAACTTAGCAGATTCTTTAATTATAAGGTAATTGGCATATTAATTGCTAGTTTATGTGTTTTATCTGGTTATTATAATTACATATGAAATATAATTATTTATGAATATAATTAAATATATATATATATTTTAGAGAATTTTTTTGCTTGAAACAGAAAAAATGTTTTTGTTTTTTTCAGAACCATCCATCATCATCTGCTAGTTCTTCCTCATCAAGATTGCGTACTGTGAGAGCTAAATCGGGTT